GCTTTTACCCTTTGAAGAAAAGTCACAAAGCACACCAAAACCCACTATGAGAGTTTTATTAGGAAAAGGGAGGAACAGGAAAGAATGTGATCAGGCCTGTTTGAAAGACATGTGCAGAGAGAGAGGAGAGTACATGGGATCCACCTTTTATGGACCACCCCCATGCATGCACATATGGGCCCATGTGGCTATGCCACTTATGCACACAGATTACATGAACATGCTGTGCACAAATTATGTGACCACATAGCACATGAATTATGTAGGACGTAAGCCCCAGAAATGATTAGGTGTCTCACTGGGACATGTTCAGTTATCGGGGCATGGTTAGAATTCCGATCACTAAGGAGTATATAAAGGAATAGTTCACAATGGGTGGTGCCCTATGTGTGAGGGGCCCAGACAGCTTGACCACATGCTTAGGGGCCCAGACACAGATGTCATGACAGGCTTACTGGCAGGTACCATCCAGTCCCCAGAAAAGCCATAAGCAGACCCCACCCAGGGAGGGCCAGCATCTAAGGGGAAATACCTGACATTCCAAACATATTCCTAGCATACTCATATAACCCTAGAAAAATGTCAGTCAGTCAAGGTCCTGAACCCTGGAAATTCCCTCATCTTCAACCTCTACTATGATAAAAACAACAACAACAACAAAAAAAAAAAACCACCATGCCCAGGCTTGGGACGCTGTTCTCACCACTATGTTGGATAATTGGGGAGTCTAAGCTTGAGCTTGAATAAAGGCTCTTTATTTTTACATATGGGACTCTGTCCCATGGTGTTGTTTTTGGGGGTCCCCAAAATCTGAATATAACATGAGCAGTTTGGCCTGGGTGTATAACAAAAGGATCTGAGGGGGTAGAGTACAGAGCTCAGCAGTAAAGAGAGCACTCACTGCTCTAGCAGAGGACCAGTTTTCCAGTTGGTCTGATGGCTCTGGCCTCCACAGGCATCCACAATCACATTCCCTTACCAACATGTGGACACAAAAGCATATACATTAATTAAAAATAAAAGTTTATTAAACAAGAAAAGTGGCTGAACATGTGCCTGGGAGCAAGCCATAGCAGTATTTGTCCATGATTTCTGCTTCGTATTTTTCTGTGAATTCCTGTCCTGAGTTTCGTCAATGCTGAACTGTGACCTGGAAGTATAAGGTAAAATGCACTCTTTCCTCCCAAGTATCTTTTGTTCATGATGTTTATCACAGCAACAGAAGACAAACTATTGCAAAAACTGGGTACCAGGAAATTGGACTACTATTGTGAGAGACATGACCACACCATTTTGGGAGAGGCTTGTGGAATAACTTGGAATGCTGAGATGGAAAAGCCATTGAGTGCTCAAAGCTGGATGGACTGTTGCTGTGGAAGCTTAGAAGAAAGGAATTTGGAAAGAAATGTGGAAGATGAGGGCCTAGCTTATGAAGTTTCAGAAGGAAGTTTGAGAGTAGCTTGAAATATCTATTGAAGCCATTTGGATAATGTATTTGAATTAAGAATCCGTAGAAGTGTAACCATCTGTGCTTCATTGGATCAATGGATTCTGGTTATCTGGAGCTTAAGAATCAACTGTGATTAGTGAGAGAGAAGCATCACTGAGGAGAAACTGGGGTGGAGTTCCTCAGGGTCAGCGCAAACAAGAACCACACAAGTGGGATTCTGCTATCATTTTAGATCATGAGGGAGTCATATATATATGACATTGAGCTGTTTACACTGCTATGTTTGGGGTTTGCCCAAAGAGTGACTTTTCATTAATGCCATGGGTTTTCTCTTTTAGAATTAGAAAATATTGAACATGTTTTTTGCTTTAGAGAATCCAGTTGAGAGACTTTGGACTTCTCAAAGACATAGGACTTTGAAAGTCTTAAACATTTTAAAGACTGTGGGACTCTTAAGTTGGGCTGTATTTTATATTCTAATATTAACATGAGTTTATGGGGACAAGGAAAGGTTAAGGTTTAATAGTGATGTGTATGTTTGTCAAACTGACAAGTGGTAGACTTGTGATGGCTAAGCTTCATAGTTGAAGGAATTGCCTCCACCAGATGTGTCTGTGGGAATGTCTGTGGACTGGCTTTGATTTCTAATTGATGTAGAAGGGCCCAGACTACTGTGGGTGATGCCATCCCCATGGAAGGAAGACTGGGCTATGTATAAAAAGGCTGTTAAATATGGGCTTGGGAGTAAGCCACTGAGCATGGTCCTCCATGGTTTCTGCTTCAATTCCTGCTTGAGCTCCTGTCCTGACTTTCCCAAATGATGTACTGTGACCTGGAAGTATAAAGAGAAACAAACCCTTTCCTTAAGTTGCTTTTCTCTTGGTGTTTATCTGCACAACATAAGTCAGACTATAACGGTACCTAAACAAAAGCTGAAGGGTGGTATTTTATGAATCTTGCTTTTGCTGGGTTTGATTATCTAATTTCCTATTGCCCTAAGGGTGAAAATATTCTTCTTACAAATTTCTTCACCCCAGTCTGCATGCTCATTACTTACCACAAATAAGACATGGAGGTCTTCCACTAAAGCTTTATTCAGGGTACTCCATCAGAGGAAGTCAAGGCAAACCTCACCATTAAGCATTGGAGGACAGAGAAAACAAACAAGAAGGCAGGTTGTGGAACTATAGCTCCCTAGAGGTCTAGCCTTGTGTGGAGGCCCACAGAGGCTATCTAGTGAGACCTTGAACAAAGTCAGAGAGTCTGAGCTTGCTTCACCCATCAGGGCTGCATAATAGGATCATTGACCAGAGGCATGTTTACCAAGTGTTTGGAATGGTCTATGCTTGGCTCTATGGTGTGTTTTGATCTTGCAAGGGGAAGTCTTTTGCCTCTCGCTTTGGCATATTATAAAAAGCCTTTTTAAATAAATGACTGGGTGACTGGGTATTGACCCAGGGCCCTCCCAAAGCTATCCTTTCTCTGTGTCTTTCTTATTGTCTCTTTTTATCTTTTTATCTAATATTTCCTCATTGCTCTCTCCTCAATCAAAGAACCCTTTGAAAGGTGGAAGCAGGTCAGAGCTGGACTCCTATAGATTCCCACAGCCTTGGACAATTTGTGAGTCTCATGAAGATTTGTTTGTGTATCTGTGCATATCTGTGTGTAATAGTTGTGTGCATTTGCATATGATATGCATATGTGTGTGTTTGTGGAATTATATGTGCATATGTCAATGTGTGTTTGTGGATGTGATGTGTGTTTGTGTGCATGTCTACATGTGATGTATGCATGTGTGTGTTTATATAATGTATATGTATGTTTATGTGTGTTTGTGGGTGTGTACATGTGTGTGATGTGTTTGTGGATGTATATATAATGCATGTATGTGTGTGATGCACATCTGTATATGTGTGATGTATTAGTATGTATATATGAAGTGTTCATGTGCATGCATATGATGGATGTATGTGTATACATGTGGTCTCTTTCTTTGTGTATGTGTTCATGTTTTTGTGAATGTGTCTCTGTGATGTGTCATATGCATGTGTACAAATGTCATGGTGAGTGTGTGGTTGGTTAGAGGACCAACCTGAAAGTCAGTCCTCACCATATGTTTCAATTGATAAAAGACCTTTTTGTTCACTGTTGTGTACACGAGATTAGTGAGATCCTAGTTTCCAGCAATTCTTGTGTCTCAGCCTCCATACCCTGAGAAGAGTTCCAGATTATTGACATTTGCTCCATATGGGTTCTGGGAATCTGAATGTAAGTGGTTAGGTTTACAAAGCAAATGCCTTACACACTTGAGCTTTCTCTCCAAATTTTAAGACAATTGTGTTCATAAAATTTGAGGATGGACAGTTGCAGTGTCCAATTCTTCTGAGTTGTCAGAGTGCCTGAAAGCATGCACAAAGCCCCAATTCTGATTACTAACTCTATAAAAATTGGGCATGTTGCTACAGGCTTATAAACCTGGCACATGGGCGGTACAAGTAGGAGGATCAGAAACTCAAATTTATCTTTGATTTCATATCCAGTTGGAGACCTGTCTGGGGTATGTGATTCCCTCCTCAAAAATGGGAAGCCAAAGAAAAAAACATGGTCATGGAGATAAACAGTATAGGAAAGGGGTAGAACAGACCTGGGTGTACTGGTGAATCACAAGGTCTGAGAAAAGGTAGAGATGTCGCCTCACTATACTTGGTAAGGTAATGATACTAACAAGTGACTCTGACACCAAAATGTTGTCAACTCACAGCCAAATACATTGAGCAAAGTTCCAAAGACACATCCTGGTTATGGTAAATTACATAAGAGGCTCAAAATACTTTGTTTTCTCAATTCTAAAATATAAAACTGAGTTTTTATATTAATCTATCTAAAATGTGTATACATTTTGCAATTTAAAAAATTATTCTCCCTGTGTGTATGCCTCTGTCTCTGTCTCTGTCTCTGTCTCTGTCTCTGTCTTTCTCTCTTTGGAGCTGGGGGTGGAGGTGTATACAGGTGACAGAATGCATATAGGAATCAGAGGGAGGAGGATATTGGTTCTCTCCTTCTACATATGAAGTTATTTTTCAATTAATTGAATATGATTTGTTCCCCAAGTCTCTTCATCATAAATATAATGTGTCAGTTTCCTATCAAATGCATTTTGGAAAGGGATGAATATAATATTTATCTTGCAAGGCAAAGCAAACCACTCGTCATTTATTTTCACAACATTTTAGACTTTAGAGTATCTCAAGCTCACATGCTTTCCTCATCTTTCCTAGCAGGTGAGCAGAATAAGAATGCTTTTGGTCTAGGAGCTAACTCCTTCATAAACTGCTTGCCATGCAAGCTTGAAGACCTGTGTTCAATCTCCAGAACCCATATTTAAAAATCCATATATTTCTAACTATAAGCCTAATAATGGGATACAGTGACCAGAGATTCCTTGGTCTAGTTGGAGAGCAGCAGGCCAATGACAAAACATGTCTCAAAACACAAAGTGGATGGTGCCTGAGGAGCTACATCTGAAGTTGACCTCTGACCTCCACACATGCAAACATAACACTTAAATGAGTCCCACATTGATGCTAATCTTTCACTTATGGGCTGTGCAGTCCCATGCCTTTGTTCACATGTTGCTCTTTCCCCTGGCATGCCTCTCCCATTTTGTGTTATGAGGCACCTATTAATACTTCAAGTCATTTCAAGTCATCACAGCCTCTTCTCTCTCTCTCTCTCTCTCTCTCTCTCTCTCTCTCTCTCTCTCTCTCTCTCTCCTTTTCAGATACAGACACAGTCTTTACCTACAAGTGCAATGAAAACTTCCTGTCCTCTTTGCTCTGTGTTCAAGTTTCCTTTCCGTTGTCTTAAAACACTCTGACCAGAAGCAGCTTAGGGTGGAGAACAGAGTTTATTTCAGATCACACACTTCAGTCTGCCACTTGGGGAAGCTAGGGCAGGAACTTGAAGAAGAAACCATGAAGGAATGACACTGTGTACTGCTCCTCAAGCTCACACTTAGCTTGCTTTCTTATATGGCCCAAGAGTACCTGACCAGGGAACAGTGCCACCCACATATACAGTTAACTATTAAGCTAATTCCCCAAAGATGTGTCCATGGGTCAGTCCAATCTGGGCAATCCCTCAGTGGAGATTCTCTTCTCAAAAGACTCCAGGCTGTGTCAAGTTGATAGTTAAAGCTAACTAGGACAAGGTATGGTGGCATACACGTAGTCAGAAGTTTTTCCAGTCCCACCTGGTCAATATGTCCCCTGTTTCTCCAGTCCCACCCAGCCTGTGGTCCCACAGCCAATTATAAAATAATAATTCAGAGGCTTGATATTAATTGCGGATTATATGGCCTATGGCTCAGGATTCTTACTAATTAGCTCTTACAACTTAACTCCACCCATATGTAGCTAGAGTTTTCCTGCCTGGCCCACAGTCAGGACAATTCTCTCTCACCCGCCAGTCCCACCACCATTCAGACCCAACCAAGTAAACACACAGAGACTTATATTGCTTACAAACTATATGGCTGTGACAGGCTTCTTGCTAACTGTTCTTTTATCTTAAATTAACCCATTTATATTAATCTGTAAGTTGCCACATGGCTCGTGACTTGACGGTATCTTAACATCTTCTCATGATAGCAGCTGGCAGCCTCTCCTCTGCCCCAGCCTTCCTGTTCCCAGAATCCCCCTCTCTGCTTGTCCTGCCTATACTTCCTGCCTGGCTACTGGCCAATCAGTGTTTTATTTATCAATCAATCCACAGCACTTCCCCTTTTTCTTTTTTTTTCAAAAAGGAAGGTTTTAACTTTAACATAGTAAAATTACATATAACAAAACAATTATCAAGCAAGAATTACAGTTACAATATTAAAGAAGATATCCTATCTATCTTATATTTGTGAGTCTAAGGTTTTATATCTAATTTATCTTTTATCATAACTGAGGAAATTATAACTCTAGTCTTCAACTACATCAAAGACCCCCAGAAGGATATAATATTACCTGCGAAATGGGAGAAGGATGCAAGCAACTTTCAGTAGTCTTGCAGGGTAGACAGAGAAAACTGGCAGCCTGGACAGTCACCTAATGTTCCTTTGTAAAGTTGGGGCATCTGTCTTCAGCCCACAGGCTTAGAGTCTCTCAGTCATTTTTCTCTGTGTCCCGTAGAATGTCTGGCAGTTTCCTCTGCAAAGCAGGAACCTGAATGACCATTTCATCAATCAAAGTTCACTGGTCACCTTTCTATGGGTCCTGCATGTCCAGTTGATCAAGCAGTCCAGGCAAGAACAGTTTCATGCCCAAATGGCTATTTTTGCCAAAGTGAAGATAAACCCCATATGGAGTGTCATCGATGCCCATCCTCCTCTCTGAAGCAAATTAGTGATGCTAGGAGTAGACATGTCTCACTGTCCAGAAAGTCTAAATTTTTAAAAACATTTTAAATGTCATATTCCGTAGGTCTTTGAAGTGTTTGAAGATTACCTATCTATCTGAAATATATCTATTTATACCTAGAAAACTTGACTAACATGGCTATAAGTATGATTATCTTAGATGACTAATTATTGATCTATTTCTTAATTATCCATTACAATTTTAAATGAGCTGTACAAACATAATACCTTAAACAAGAGTAGAAATATACATTTCTCAGTTACCATTATATTCCTTCTCAGGTCTTTGATGAGATTGAAGACCAGCAGTTATAGTTGCAACTTAGTTTATATATATATATATATATATATATATATATATATATATATTATCTTAGATAGAACATATTAAATATTAGATTCAGGTTCTTTAGAATAGGACACCTTTTGGAATGATCTTTGTAACATGCCATTTAACTACACTCTATACTTCTCTGGATTTATTCTTGCTTGATATTGTTTGCATTGGTTGTAATTCCATCTTATCTAGGTCATTATCCCTCATTATTTCTGGACAATATTTGATAACCATTCCTTTGTATATAGTCTTGTATTAGGTTAGAACCTTCTTATTTAGACAAAAGGGGGGGATGTAGTGGGTAGCCATTCCAGCTTTGATCTGGAAGTTCCAACCCCCATTGAGGCTTCGGTAACTTTCACACCTACAAGGCAGGGCCAAGAGAGAACCCTGAAGACCCAAAATCCGGATGGGCTGATGCTCTTGGTTCCTGGACCCTGGACGTTGGAGGTAGACGAGTGGTGTTCTCCAGAGAACACCGCCAGACTGCGCTACACGTTTCCCAAACCCTGTTACCTATCCCTTCACTTGTAAGTTACCCCACAAAATAAACCTCCCTTTTAACTACGTGGAATTGCCTTAGTAATTTCACCAATACCCATAACTATTAATCTATGCATCATCACGTGTTTTGTGGCTTTCCTTGTGTCCCATTACATGTTGCTCCTTGGACGACAGTTTGGTGACTCCTCTCCTCCTTTCTCCTTTCACTATCTCTTTTGGATTTTCTGCCTGGCTCCATCCTGCCCTGCCATAGGCCAATGCAGCTTTACTTATTAGCCAGTGGGAGCAACACATATTCACAACATACAGAAGGATATCCCACAGCAACACACCCTTAATCTCAGCACTTGGGAGACAGAAGCAGACAGATGTCTGTGAGTTCCAGGCCAGCTATGTCTCTATAGTAAGACAATATCTAAAAACAGCATAAAAAACTAAGCTAAGTAGGATACCACCAATCCCATAAATTATTACTTCCAGGGTGTTTCCAACATATATCTGCACCCTGGGAACAAATACTGTATATAGATCACTCTTTTCATCCCCACTAGTGTTATGTAGAACAGAGGAGTGGGTGTTATTAAATGCCCTATTGTGTTGGAAAAATAACTCAGTTGGTGGAGGACCTGCATTCTATCTCCCAGAGGCCATGTAAAAAGAGCAGTCATAGAAACACACCTGTAATCCCAGCTGTGAGGGCACAGAAAGATGATCTTTGAACCTCGCTGGCCAGCCAGTCTAGTGAAAACTGTGAGCTCTATGTCCAAAGATACCTTCTCAAAACAAAGTGGTGAGCAACAGAAGAAATTCACCTGACACTGAACTTCGGCCTCCACTGTGCATGGGTACACATGTGCACACACACTTAAACATGTACATACACCTAAATACATACACACATGCATGCTCACATACACAAAGATCTTTTTGACAAATGAATATACACTATGATAAACATTGTCTGCATAGAAAGTCTAGGAAGAATCATGCTTTCAAATAATTTGTAATCTATAAAGACTCAAGTTCTTTAGTGGTACACATTCAAATCTGGAGGCTCTCTGAAATGCAGGCCTCTATCTGAAGGCCGAAGGCAAGAGTGACATTTTCCTTCCTCCCATCAGCTCTCTGGCTGTGCGGTTTATTTGGATTTCCTTATTAACCTGTATTTTTCTCACTCACCAGGCTGAAGTCCAATCTCCACAGAGTCTTTGAGTTCTTCCCATATGAATCAAGCCTCACATGCTCATCTTGTTGTCAAATTCGCCTGACAGATAGATTTGCTACAACAAATGAAAACACTAAATAAGCAGCCCCCATATATTTTTTATGGCTGACATTCGTTCCTAGCAAACAGCAAATGTTATCCCAAGATGAAAGCATCTATAATTCCTGAAGGTTTCATTTGGCTGTAAATCATGAAGAATATTTCCATTGTAAGTCTTTTTTTTAATGTAAAGCCAGACCTAAAATACATATATTCTTTAAATTCCTCAGGAAGGTGTGCAACAAAGTTTGATTCTAACAAGAACTGTAGGGAAGATTGCTGTGGTCAGTATCACAGAAGGGTTAAAAGCTATCAGCAGAAACATTTAATGGGATTACACTTTATAAATAAATGTGTATATTAACATACATACTAAGGCAATCAAGAGTTCACAGACACTCCTCTTTCCCATCCCCTCAAACTTTCACATTTGTCATGATGCAAGGTCATCATCACTCAGCTGGCAGAGGTCCTGAACCTGAGACATCCAGCAGCAGCTGTCAGCAGCTAACAATCTTGCTTGCTCTTCAAGAATCCTTCTCTGGGAAAACAACCACAAGACCCAGGGCAAAGAGAAAGAATTCTGTGGGGAAAGTAAAAAAAAAAAAAAAAAAAAAAAAAAAAAAAAAAGACATTTTCAGGGAAACAGGTGAGTCTGGAAAGCATTGTGTTAAGTGGCATAACCCAGACACAAGAAGAGGGAAATCGAATCTTCTCCCATATGTAGATCCTAACTTCTAATGTTTTATGTATGTCAGTGAGGAGCCGAGAAGTGGATATAGTCTAGGAAACCAGGGGAAAGACAAAAAGAGGTGAACAAGAGGTGTTGTGGAAAGGGAATAGAAAGGAGAGTATGGTGGGGGGCGGGTAAGTCGGGTGGGAGATGGGGCTGAGGTGAGAAGAGGGACAAGAACAAAATTTCCTTAAAATGTCGTGATGAAACCTAATTCCTTGTGGGTTAATGAAAATAAACAATTTAAAAGAAAGAGATAGAGGAGATGGCTCAGTGGGTAAGAGCACTTGCTGCACAATCATGAGGACACAAGTTCAAATCCCCATTCCCATGCAAAATTCCAGGCATGGTCATGTAACTCTAGCCCTGTTGAGGCAGAGCAGGGTTGGAGAGAGGAGGTTCACTGGGACTTGATGATTAAAGCCCAGCTCCAGGTTCAGTGAGAGATCCTGACATAGGGGACAAGAATGAGAGAGTGCTCTTCCGGGGACGGTGCTTAGAGGCACTCAGAATGGTCCAGCATTTGACAAACCATCATAGGCTTTCCTACAACACAGCCTCTAGCAAAAGCAGGCTGTCTCAGACCCCTGGCAACAGGATTGTTTACCTTTATATCAAGAAGGTTGGGAAAGCACCTAAATCTGCATGCGGTGTGTGCCCAGGCAGGCTTTGAGAGGTTCATGCTGTGAGACTGAAAGTCGTTATGAGATTGTGTAAGACAAAGAAGCATGTCAGCAGGGTCTACAGTGAGTCCATGTATGCCAAGTGTGTCCATGACAGGATCAAGCGGGCTTTCCTTATTGAGGCAAGGATAGCTCTGTAGCCTCTTTTATTTCATCTTTGCAAAGTCAATATTTTCTCATTTTCATATACAAAAAAATCCCTACAACTAAAGGTTCAATTAAGCACCTGATGTCACAGAAACATCAAATCTAGGTTTCAGCAAAGATCCCCGATTAACTATGCAATTCCAGACGGTGTTACTTTCTGCTCCCCAAATGAGAGTACTACAAAATATTCAACAAATGATTTGGAATTGTACTTTCAGCACTTTCTGGGTTTGTGCTTTATTTGAAAGGAACTCATACAAAAACATCCCCTCATTTTATTTTTTTCCCAGAGATGAGCTGAATGAACAGTTTTTGTGATGTGTGGCCGCCGTGGCAAACTTGTCAGAATGCAATTATTAATCTGATATTTAGGTATTTATTGCTGTCATAAGACTCTACACAATGTTTTTGAAAAATTGCCCTGACTTGTAGTTCATATCCTAGGCTTTATCAAATGCACATTTTTTTAATATAAGGCAGGTGCCATGAGGTTACAGGCACATTGCGTTCATATCCAATAACACTCTATAATCCTGAAAATAAAATCCGGGGTTACTTTTATGGAAAATTTCTTCCTGCTTATATTTCTTACTCCAAAACTATAAGTCATCTGTGAAAGGAGGGTGGCATTTTCTAAATAGGAGAGGCCGTAAAGGAGCTTTGAGAAAATGGAAAAATGATCAGGATTGGTGGGGCATACCCAGAATCTCAGCACTTGGGAGACTTAGGGGGAAAATGTTAATTTCAAGGTCACCTTCAGCTTTGCAACAAGTTCAAGACATCCTGGGCTACATGAGACTTTATTCCCTAAAGAAAAAATTAAGACTTGGGTCAGTCAAACATCAGAATAGGATTAAGACTGAACCATGTCTCATACAGATACAAAATCTCCATACTGACGTACAGAGCAGCTGAACTGCTTTACATTCCCACCAGCAGTGAATAAGGGTTCTCTTTGACCACATTCTCACCAGCAGTGTTCTTACTTGCTTTTGTAATGATTGCCATGCAGACTAGTGTGAGATGGAATCTCAATTTAGTTTTAACATTGTGTTTCTCTGATAACTAGCTAGTTTAAACATTTTTTTCATGTACATTGGTCATCTATATCTCTTTTATTTTAGTGACTTATTTTTATTATTTTTTATTTGCATGTGTGTATGCTTGTGTATCTGAATACATGCATGGAAGTGCCCACAGAGACCAGAAGAGGGCATTGTATCCTTTGATGCTGCAGATACAAGTGTTTGTGAATCACTGATGTGAGTACTTGGGATGAAATCTATGTCCTCTAGAACCATCAAGTGCTCTTATCCACCAAGCCATCTCTCCAGCCCATGTGTTTCCTTTTTAGAGAACTATCTGCTCATTTAATTAAAGAACCATTCATTTAGCGACCATTTCTGAATATTTTCCTGAAAGATCCAAGTCAACATGCCACTTGTGCACCCATGTTTACCTCAATATTCACAATAGCTAAATCGTGGAACCAACCTAGGTTTCCAACAGCAGAGGAATGGATAACATAAAACATGACCTACAATAGGACTGTTTGCAGCCATTAGGAAAACAAAGTTATGTCATTTG